GTTTCGAGAAGGCGTTCATGTTACTCAAATATTCTTGAGCGGCCCGGTCTTGTTCTGCGTCGCTGAAGTACATTGTCGGGTTGAAGGTCAAGGTCGACGTGTCTTTATTTGTCTCTGCGCTCATTGTAGTTTCTCCCATGGTCGTAACTAAGCGGCGCTACCAACTATTATGAAACAGCCTGGAGCTGTCTCTTAAACTACGAGTAGATCGGTTTATAGATAGTTCAGCCTTAGTGGATAGGCCTAGTCTATCTGTCGTATTCTCGATCTCTAAAAAGTGTTATCCTTCTTCAGGGATGTCTCAGCCTCACGCTCCTTTATAGTTCGGAACCCTTCTATACAGTAGGTGAGGGGTAACCCCGATCAGGAATGTTTAGACTCTTCGTCCTTCGTATTATACAGGATGCCCAGAATCTATAATCTGGCTCATGTCGTATCATAACATCAAATCTACTTTCTGTATATTATTTATAACTGGATTTCTCAGAGGTTATCAACTCTTACTTGTGGGAGAGGCCACGGGATAATATAGCTGTCTAGGCGAGATAGGTCGCCTGACACGGGATAGGCCGTTGGCTCAGAGGATAAGACTGATAAGCTTATCCTAGTAATATTGATACCGGAAGCGTACGGTAGTAACGGAGAGTAACCTTTATTAAGGTGATCTACTCTTATGTAATAAGGCTTACCCTTCTAACTAACAGGGTGTTCAATCACCTTCATATTCACTTCTCTCCGTCCGGCATATACGACATGCCGGACGTCACGTGCACATTATACCAACGTGCCACGTGACTAACAGACTAATCCCAGAGGATGGTAACATCCTCGGGAAAGTACTGTTACAGATATCAGTTTTGGCATTTGCATGATCATAAACTTTACATACTAGTTGGTTTAAGAAGCATTTGCGATTCGAGGTATGAGGACAGACAAGTAATACAACGCTCTTTCCGGTTAAAAGCCAGACTCTACCTAAGTCAATTTTGGACGGGCCGAGCTAAGACACTTTGTACGTAGCTGGGAGCTGTTTAAAGGTTTTTTATATATATTATTCATATATTTTTGCCCCTTTAATCAGATAAATCTACCATAAAAAGATGCAGGCCGGCAACTATTAGGAAAACCTGCGATCTGCCCCGAACTGAAGACGATGAAACGCTGGCAAAAATCTTGGAAAGCATTATACAAAAATGGTTGGTGCAAAAGAATTTTACAGCCATTCATCTATTCAATCACGTCTTATATACCCCCTTCATAATAAGGAAGTAGGGGTGTCAAGATTCGAATGCAGGTTGTAGGTTGTGTTTGAAAAGCTGTTATAGCGATCACAAGTTAACCCACCTCTACAATGAGTGTGAGAGTGTGCGCTTTTGGTGGCAAAAGATTGGCTTTCAAGCTCCAATGCACTTAAGGGAGAAGCTCGCTTTTCAATTCCTCCTTTGACAATTTAAGAAACCTTAATTGGTTTGTTAAAGTCGCTCGCAGGGTTTCTTTGCTTGAGGCAAGACGTACATTTGTCTTTGCCGCCTGGTCAAATGAACTATGGTCACGGGCCCTCGGGAGAATAGATCCTGTGGACCGATGACATTTAGTTAATTTCATTCAAGTGGTTGACATTGGTTATGGGCAGAGTCTTTTTGTCGCATGCTCTTTGGGAGATCTCGTGAATTGGTGCTCGCACCTACTCACCTGAGCTAACGTTGCGATCTGGTTCAGGTATTTTCTTTCTAGTTTTTCGTTAGCGGTGAGGTTTTACATCTCTCCAGTGGCACCCTTAATATTCTGTCTCTGATAAAAATCTGACTCCAAGACTATGGCGGGCCTCTTCTGGGATTTGTTCTAGCTTTTGCCTCTACTGTTGTATAGTTTTCTTTCTTTAATGAGATTGAACTACCAAATAAAAGGCCACGAAAAGGCACCGGCGCTTCTGAACAGAGCTGGACGCTCACGGGAGATTTTTCGAGGGCACGTGATCATCTCCTTCATGCTTGCTACTGTTCTACTTTCGGGCCCGCCCCAGCCCTCGAGATCCTTTTCCCCACCGGACCCCCAGGCTGCGTCCACCAAAAACACGTTCAGGTTTGTTGCAACAAATTCAGTCGACCGAGCCGTGACACCCTATTCCGGTACTCCGGCCGGTACTGCGAGGCCCAGCACTTGCCGGTCGCCCGGTGTATTCGGAAGGCCGCGCACTGACCGCTGGCCCCACGAGTCGATATCCGCAACCCCGGGGATTTCCGCTCGCAGCCCGTAACGGTGGTGTTCCCAGCGCGCTTCGTGACTGGTTTCCTGGATTCAAGATAACAAAAATAAAAATAAAATAACGCGGCCCTGGCAAATAGCAACGCCCCGCAAAAGCCGGCGCCGCGCTGCGGAGGTTGTGACTGTTTGCTCTGAACATAAGACCTTGAAATCCACCCCGAAAAGCCCCACGCTGTAGGAATCACTGACACTGAAGACACTTTCAATTATCACTGACCCTTTAAAGTATCACTGACGCTCTCAACTGAAAGCACTGTCAAGTATCTGAAGATACTGCAATTATTACTGAGAGCATTGTCACTTATCACTGAAAGCACTGTCAATTAACATTGAGAACAGCTGAAAACTGAAAGCGCAATCACTGAAGACACTGTCAAGTATCACTGAAGACACTGTCAAGTATCACTGAAGACTGCCAATCACTAAAGACACCCGCACACCATGTCCATCCACAGTTCCGAAACCGAGTCGCAATCGGATTTCGAGCGCTTGGAGTCTACGTTGCCTGACCCGCTCCGCAGAAGCGCCTCCGCGTTGCTCGACAAGTTGTACAGCAGCTCGGCACAGGTCCACGAGTCGCTGCTGTCGAGAGTCCGCGCCAACCAGGAGGCGCTGAACACGTTGGCCGGCGGCATCCTGAAGGACCAGCACAACCGCTTGCTCTCGCGGCTCTCGCGCTCCGAACATGGCCGCGAGGGCTCGCCCGTGCCCGTGCCGCGCCCGGCGTTCAACGAGGACATCCACAAGCCCGCCATGAACACCAAGCAGTCGTCCACGGGCGTGTTGTGGGTCACCGAGCGGGCCACCGAGTGCGGGTTCCGGGGCAACGGCGACGAGGACTGGGCCAACTTGGGCCAGGGCGCGCCCGAGCACGGCGACACCGTGCCCGGCTCGTTCAAACGGCCCACGTCCATTCCCATCACGGACGTCAGCAAGGAGTACGCGCCCACCGCAGGCATCCGGGAGTTGCGCGAGGCGGTGGCCACGTACTACAACGAGACGTACCGCCAGCACTCGCCTTCCAAGTACACGTACAAGAACGTGTGCATCGTGCCCGGCGGGCGCGCGGGCTTGATCCGGATCGCGTCCATCATCAGCGACTGCTACTTGTCGTTCTTCTTGCCCGACTACACCGCGTACGCGGAGATGCTCTCGTTGTTCAAGAACTTCTCGCCCATCCCCGTGCCGTTGGACGAGGCGGACAACTACGAGATGCACTTGAACACCATCGCGTTGGAGTTGCAGCGAGGCGTGTCGGCGTTCCTCACGTCCAACCCCAGAAACCCCACGGGCAAGTGCATGTCGCGCGACCAGTTGCGCCGCCTCCACGACATGTGCCGCAAGAAGTGCCTCTTGATCATGGACGAGTTCTACTCGCACTACTACTACGACGAGGGCTGCACCGGCGACTCCATCTCGTCGTCGCTGTACGTGAAGGACGTCAACAAGGACCCCGTGCTCATCTTGAACGGGCTCACCAAGGCCTTCCGGCTCCCCGGCTGGAGGATCTGCTGGATAGTCGGGCCCGAGGAGTACGTCAGTGCGTTGAGCTCCGCCGGCTCGTTCTTGGACGGCGGCTCCAACGCGCCCTTCCAGTACGCGGCCGTCGATTTCTTGGAGCCGTTGAGTGTGCGCAGAGAAATGAAGGCGCTCCAGATGCACTTCAAAATGAAGCGCGACTATGTGATTGGCCGCTTGGGCAAGATGGGCTTCTCGTTCACCGACAAGAACACGCCCAACTCCACGTTCTACCTCTGGCTCAATCTCTCGCACCTCCCCGGCAAGCTCAGCAACTGCCTCGGGTTCTTCCACGAGTGCCTTCACGAGAAGGTCATTGTCGTGCCCGGGTTCTTCTTCTTGATCAACCCGCAAAACTTGTCGCGCCTCGAAGACGTCATCTGGTACAACTTCGTGAGAATCAGCTACGGGCCGGAGATGTCCCATTTGGAGAAGGGCATGGACGGGATCGAGAGAATCTTGAGGCGCTTTGACTGCTTGCCATACTAGCGCCTTTCTTAGCGACAACGGCCCGTGCGCCTCCGTCACCTACAAAAATGTAAACATTTCCCGATTGACAAGCACACTCATTAGTCGTAGATTCCACATCCACGCTATCGGTTCCGTGCATACACTCCTGTCTACGCGGCGTGCACCCAGCCGTATACTGCCCCACTACCTAAAGGGCCTGGCCTAATAAACTTCGGCAAACATGGCCTTCTAGGGTCCTGTGCAGCTGGACTCGCGTCCTTCCTCCCATGTGCCTTAATTGGGCGGGCAGGGCAGCCCACTGCACAACGCCCCTCCGGCCCCAGATCACATCGGTGGATCGCATGTCTGCTGCATGCAGGTGCGTCCCGTCCGCCGCGAGGAAACGCATCGAATCCGGGGAAGCCGCCGCGTCACGTGCGCGCCCTCTTTGCTATCCTACAAAACTGGGCCTTTGTCAAGACTGCTCCAGAACACCAAGCTCCGTGGCCACGAACGACCCGCCCCAGAACCCAGCAGAATTTTCGCGCATTTTTATCCAAGATGCTGGAATCTCTCATCGGACCAGACTCGACGCCTCGGATCGGCGCTGTGCCGAGTGACGGCCACCCTCAATTCAGCTACTTCCAGGTGCTCACCACCATGGTGGTTTTCCTTCTGCGCCTAGTGTGGACCGCCAGCAACTACACGCTAGTTGTGTTGCCCACGTGGATCATGTCAATGCTCCAGCGGCAATTTCTGGTCACGTTGTCCTTGCTGCTGATTGCCGTGCTGGCATGCTTGCTAGTTTCCATCACGTACTACGTGGTGCGGCAGCGGTACTTGCGCAAGTATTCTGCCGACACCACGCCGCCCAAAAAGGACGCGCCGGCGGCCCAGTTCAGCCAGGGGCTCGACTACGTGGCCGGCGCCAAGAAAAAACGCGGCACGGACCGCTCCAAAAACTACTTGGACGAGTTTCTCAGCGCCATCAAGGTGTTTGGGTACTTGGAGCGGCCCGTGTTCCACGAGCTCACGAAAAACATGACCACGCAGAAGTTGGCGGGCGACGAGATCTTGTGCTTGGACGAGGGCGTCGGGTTCTCCATTGTCGTCGAGGGCACCGTGCAAGTGTACACGAAAATGGACGATGTTGCCGGGCCCGTGGTGGACTTTGAGTGCGCCGCCGAGGGGCGCGAGAAAGACGAGATCTTGCTCGTGTCCAACCACCGCTACCACCTCTTGAACGAGGTCAAGAGTGGCTCGTCGCTCCTGTCGCTCCTCAGCACCGTGGACCTATTCAAGTCCGATGCCGTGGGGGCATACAGCCGCAAGCATTCGGCCTTGGGCACCGACTCTCCGGCAGGCTTCCCGTTCAATGCAAGCGGCACGGCTTCCTTCGATGGCCAGGCGTTCATGCACCGGTCGCCATCTTTCCATGCCAGTCCAAACGGTCTCAAGATGCCGGAGAGTCCTGTGGTCAACAGCGCCGTGTCGCCCCTGGAGGGCCTGTTCCACGACACTCTCCCTGCGATTATTGCTCGGCCCAAGGCGCTGCAAGACGTCCAGGAGTCCACCGCCACCATCGCCATCATCCCGTGCCTGGCGTTCCAGCGCGTGTACCACAAGTTCCCCAAAGCCACCTCGCACATCGTCACCATGGTGCTCACGCGTCTCTACAAAGTGACGCTCAGCGCCGTGCACAACTACTTGGGGCTCACCAAAGAAGTCATGGAAAGCGAGATTGCCTTGAACGACATCAGCGCCGAGTGCAAGCTCCCCAGCTACCTTGCCGAGGGCGTGCTCGAAAGCTTGCGCCACCAATGGACCGAGGCCCCAGCCTCGGAGCTCTCGCTGCTGGTGCGTGTGATGCCTAAACTGACGAAGAAGGCCCGCAGGCACATGCGCGAGAACTCATCACGTTACGTGATCCTCGCCTCAAGGTACAAAGCCTCCCACCCGGGCGACTTGCTCTCGGCCGTGCCCTTATCACGCCGCCCCGATTTCAACCGCATGAGCCTGGGCTCTGCTGAGAAAGACGTATCGGCGCCGGCGCCCAGTGCCAGGCCCTTGTTGCAAAAGGCCTCTTACAACAAGTCCTATGCCCCCACTCTCGCGTCCATCCAGTCGTCGGTTGATGTGCGTGAGCGGTGCTTTTCGGACGAGCGCGAGGAAACAGAAGAGACGTCGTTGCGCACAGCAATCGTGGAGAATCTCTTCAAGTTGCTAGGCATCGAGGAAGACCAGTTTGGGCCCGGCTTCCAGGGCCTTCAGACTGGCCACACGTCGGCCAGCTCGAGCGTGGTAGGCTTCTCGCCGCTCTCGCAGGACACCTCGACCCCAATGAACTTTGAGCGCTGTTTTTACGACTCTCTTCCCGAAAGATCTCGGACGAACACGTTGCTCAGGTCTGGTTTGTCGGGCATTGCCTCGCCTTCGGAAAAGTTGTACACGACATTCCACCAAAACACAGGCAAGCCCGAAAAAGGCCCAGAAACCGCGAGTGCCAGGATAGCCAACTCACAAGAGCAAAACAATTTGGCCAACGGGCTTGAGCCAAGTTTCTCCACAGTCAAAAATGCATTCAGCAAAAACATCGAGGTGAAGTATTACGCTCCTGGAACCGCAGTCGTGACCCAAAATTCGTTTGACACGGGCCTCTTCTATGTCATACATGGGAGATTGGACGTCTCCACGTGTCACAAAAACGACGGGGATGACTCAATGGGCACGTCGGTCAACAAAAGGCTTTACAGTGTGAATCCCGGCGGATTGGCTGGTTATTTGAGTACCATTGTAGGATTCCGCTCTTTGGTCTCGGTAACTAGCTCTTCAGAAGAAGGCGCGGTTGTCGCCCATATTTCTAAGAAAGATTTCCTGACGCTCTTGGACAAGTACTACTTTTTGCAGCTCCCTGTGGCATCAAAACTCAAGCACTTGTTGCCCAGCATGATCAAAACCATCGACTTCGCCCTTGAGTGGTGCCACATCCCTGCTGGTGGTGTCTTGGCAACACAGGGTGACCTCGCAAACGGATTTCACATAGTGCTCAGTGGTCGGTTCAGAGTAATCAGGGATAATAGCAAAAAGGTGGAGTCTGGTATCTACCATCATAACCAAAGCCTTGTGGATGAAGCAAACGCGCCGCAGATCGGCGACAAAGAGGAGAGCTATGAAGTCCTTGGGGAGTATGGCCACGGTCAATCTATTGGCGAGGTGGAGGTCTTGACTGCTACAAGGAGAACTAATTCTTTGATTGCCGTGCGTGATTCCGAAACAGCGAGAATCCCAAGAACTTTGTTTGAGATGCTTTCGTCGCAAAACCCGGCTATAATGGTACAAGTCTCGAGAATTGTTGCCAATAGAGTGCTCAAGAGTAATGACAGAGAGAACTTCGCCACGCTTGCCACGTCTAATCATTCAAGAGCAGCGGAAGTTAACAAGGAATACAAGACGATTACAATACTTCCGTGTGTCAGTGGTCTTCCTGTTAGAGATTTTGCCGATCGCTTGACCCTGGCATTGCGTGCCATTGGTCGGAATGTCATTGCCCTTGATCGAGCCTCCACTTTGACCCATTTGGGAAGGCATGCATTTGATGAACGACTTGCACATTTGAAGCTTTCAGGATACTTTGCATATCTTGAAGAGAAGTACGAGACCGTTGTTTATGTCTGTGATACCCCCTTAAAGTCTAAATGGACCTCGACTTGCATTTCGCAAGGAGATTGCATCTTGCTTTTGGCGGACGCTGAAGACGACGAGTGTGCAACGAACGTGGGTGACTACGAAAGATTATTATTGAAGCTCAAGACGACCGCAAAAACAGACTTGTGTCTCATTCATTCGGATAAATCAGTCATTCCAGGCTCGACGAGTATTTGGTTGCAAAACCGTATCTGGGTACAGGACCACCATCACGTCGAAATGGCAATTTCAAGGGACCGGGCCGTTAACAAAATGAAAAAGAAAAATAATTTGCTTTTAGAATTGGCCATGAAAATTAGCAGCAAGGCTAACCCAAACATTAAGCATAAGCTCGAAAACGTGAGGTCTCGTGCTCTTGAATCCTGGATGAAACTTAACAACAGGGTGAACAAACATAATGAAGTTCCCGTTGCTCACAAAAATGATTTTATGCGCTTGGCTAGGATTCTTTCTAATGAAGCAGTTGGGCTTGTTCTAGGGGGTGGAGGCTCGCGTGGTATATCCCATGTTGGAGTTGTCACCGCTTTGGAGAAGCATGGAATACCTGTTGACGTGATAGGAGGTACTTCTATTGGGTCTTTCGTGGGAGGGCTATATGCAAAGGAGAACAACATTGTGTCTATCTATGGAATGTCGAAAAAGTTTTCCAGTCGAGTTGGTTCTCTTTGGAGGAACATCTTCGATCTCACTTATCCTGTAACTTCGTATATCACGGGTTACGAATTTAACCGAGGTATTTCCAAAGTGTTTGGCTATCATGAAATCGAGGATTTCTGGATCAAATATTTCTGCAACTCTACGAACATCACAATGTCGAAGATGGAAATACACCAGAGAGGCTATGCTTGGAGATTTATCAGAGCGTCAATGTCATTAGCTGGGCTTCTTCCACCAATTGCATACAATGGTTCAATGTTATTAGATGGGGGCTATCTCGACAATCTTCCTGTTCTGGAAATGAAGAACCGCGGAGCGAAGTATATCATTGCCGTGGATGTCGGCTCAGTGGATGATAGAACTCCCATGAACTACGGCGATACATTATCAGGTTTTTGGGTCCTCTTTAACCGAATTAACCCCTTCTCAAAGCACCCAAATGTTCCCAACATGATGGACATTCAATTAAGACTAGCTTATGTTGCTAGTGTCTATGCCTTGGAGATAGCTAAGAAGACCCCAGGTGTGATCTATCTTCGGCCTCCTATCGACGATTACGCCACTCTTGATTTTTTGAAGTTTGACGAAATTTACAATGTCGGATTGGCATATGCCGATGAGATCTTGACCCGGTGGAAAGCAGAGGGAAAATTCCCCGCCATTGCGGGAATGAGCAAAAAAAATCAAGATGAATTTCTTGATGGACGTCCGATTTACAGAAGAAATTCTATATAATAGAATTGATACTACCCGATTGTCCTCAAATGTATCCCCGTTGTAGTTGTTTCTATCGATTTCTATTATACCATATTTTTATGGCAACCAACTTCTTGAAATTCTCTTGGATATTTCTCCCGAGGAAGTGAGAGAGTTGTAGAACGTCTCTACAATGGGATGTGCCCTCACACGCTCCTTTCTGAAATTCAAAACCTGGAGGCCAGCACGAGACACAGCTCTGGAAAGCGCCACGTATGCTTGGCCGTTCTCAAAAATTCGTGATAAGTCAACTCTCACTTTTTGCAAAGTTTGACCTTGCGACTTGTGAATCGACAATGCCCACGCAAGCATAAGAGGAAATTGTACACGAGAAACTAAAACCTCATCTGTCTTATCATCAACAATTTCCCAGCGCTCTGGCTCCATCAAATGGTCCCTTGTAGTGATACCGTCTGGACAAATAAAGCGGACCAATGGATATTCTTCTTTTTTAGAAGTCTTCTGTAACTCCTGAATAAAGTTTAGTTTTCGTTCCGTGTTTTCATTGATGAACGGCACAAAAGATGAGCCTGCCTCGAAAGGATCAGCAGAACTTTGTGAGCATTGGTCCACTTTCACATTCTCCGGATTCCCTTTTTCTTCGGTCTTATGAGTCGTCTCCGCGGAATTTTCCTCTGCAAGGAACTTTTTGGCCAAAAAATTGAACACACTGTCAGATGCTCCCTCTTGAGAACGTGATCGGCGCAATTCCTCTGTGAATTCTTTAAAGCCCAAATTAGGCTTTTCTTTTTCTATTCTCTCACACAAATATGTGTCTCTGTCCACAAACTTGATGATTGTTCCCAATGATCCATTCACCAATGTATCATCGATATTCTTGATGCACATTACCTGTGCATTTTCTTTTAGAATCAATTCACGCGGGGCCAAAAAGTTGTTGAGCATTTGCGCTTTCACAGCAGGTGGTAAAGCACCACCGTCAATGGCCACATATTGTTTCGTTCTGCCAGTGATTCTATTCAACTTCAGGTTGTTCGCCCTGTCAACCTCAACTCTTGTTGCGTAAAGTTCGGTTGGCACAATACCTTCTGGGCATTCTAAAGGTCTCATAAGCCGGCGAAACTCCAATTCTGCCTCAGGACTGACAATCCCGTGTCTCATATCGTTCAACATATCAATGAATTCCTGATCACCCTTTTGACGGAAGACTTCCTTCAAAACAATGCTGTGGTCCAAAATCTCATCCCACGCCTTGGATTCAAAAGCAAAAACAGCCTCATCTTTCTTCAGCGTTCCGTCGGTCAAAATCTCGTTTCTACTTACAGGTGGGAGCTGGTAGAAGTCACCGCAAATGATTATCTGGATACCACCGAAAGGTTTGTCCGGAGCTCGACGGACATTGCGCGCAATTTGGTCCAAGTGGTGAAACAATCTTCCGTCTATCATTGAAATTTCGTCTATGATGAGAACTTCGGTTTCTTTCCATCTGACAAATGCTTTCCTGTTCTTCTTCACGTTTTTTATCAAAGATTTGAGATCTCCTTTTCCCAACCCAATTCCAGCAAAACTGTGCAATGTGATGCCGCCAACATTACATGCAGCTAGACCCGTCGAGGCAGTAACAGCAACGGTACCGGGTTTCTTCATTTGTTTGATGGCTTTGATTATGGATTTTAAAAGAAAGGACTTTCCTGTTCCTGCAGATCCTGTGAAAAAAATTGACTTGCCTGCTTTTGCCAACTGGAGCACATGGTTTTGTTCTCTGGATGGACGGATTGCAGTGACCACTTTCTCAGGCTCACGCAGCATTTCTTTTTCACTGAATCTCCCTGTGTTTTCCAGAAGATGTAGACTTGGTTTCTGTGTTGCCAATTGGATTGTGGGGTTTGCGTCGTGAGCCAATCTGACAGTTTTTGACATAAAGGACGCAGACGTTGTAGAAAACAGACGAAATTGCATCTGCGACTCATATGACTGGAATTTCTCTGGCGAACTGACTCGTGCTCTTTTTAATGCCGGGCTAGGTATGCTTCTTGGGGACGAAAAGCGCACGGACGAGTGTACGGCTTCGAACAGCACATCTGCCACGGGAGCTTTTGCATGGTTCTCGGGCTTCACTAGTTTTTGCGCCACACTAGAGTCTAGTAGTGGCTTTTTCGGGGAGCTTAAGAGATCATCTTTGGGTTCCAGCTTGCATGAGAAATACGGCTCCGGGGAGCTGGGGTCAGACCACGGCTCAGACATTAGATCTTTGAGTAGATCCTCAGATACCTGCTCACGTCTGATGGGCAGGCTTCCCACTTTTATCTTCATCTCTTGCCTTGGCTTCTGAACCTGCAGAAATATAGGTAGGAGAGGTTGTTTTGGTGGTGAGAAAGCCAGTGATTCTGTAAGCGTTTCGACCGCCTGTTTGGTGGGCTTGCTTTGTGAAGCGTGTGTCTTAGAGAGAGAGTTTGAGGGTGGGTTGATATTCAAGAGCTCCTCCAAATCGTCCGAATCGAACGGGTCTTCACTGGCCGAGTGCACATCAACGACGTTGTTACAAGCATCTTGCGAGGCCTCAGACTCAGCAAAAGATGAAAAATCAAGCTGCTGTACAATGCTTAGCGTTTCTGGAGACGTTTCCATGAGCAGGAAATGGCGCCCGGCAGCGACGTTTTCAACAGGAGACATCACGTGGTATAAACGGAGACGGATGGAGGCAGCTCGACCGGGCTTCGAAGCTAATTTATAACAGCCGAAAAGCTTACGCGAAAGCATAGGAGGACACTGACTAGCGCTGAAATTTGGTGTGCCTCGGAAAACTGCTGGGTTTATGGGGTAGTAGATCTGTAGATTTGTAAGTGCGGTGCGCTGGATTTTATTCGTCTCATTAGATACCAGTCGCGCCAGACGCGATGCATTATAAATGTCACTAAGCTGGCTGGGTGAGACAATTCTGGAACGCCATTGGGCGGAATAGGGCCATATGAAACGAGGCCTAAGAAAGACCCACTTATGTATTCAGCAAACAGATTTCATGCATAAGATTTTTTAGGAATGTAGAAGGGACATTACGGAGGTACTAGTTCCCGATGCAACGTTTTCTGGGCCAGTTTCCTCACGTGACCTTTTCTCTTCGGACGTCTACTTCGTCATCCTATTGACATCAGCTTGCGGGACTTAGAGCAGCAGACTGCAGTCGATTAATAAAGAATAATATTCATGTATATATGAGCCTCTTAATGATTTCCTTTCCCAAATAAGTTTACCGCTATAGGTTATTTGATCACTCTAAAAATTATCTATGTAGTACTATATTACTGAAAAACAGATGACAGCTCTCATTTCGCACTTGTGTATCCAAATTTTTTGATTATTCAAAATAACAAATTTGAGAAAAAAAATAACCACGGTGAAGTTTCAGCTGATATCGTGTGGCTAAGGGCTTAGAAAGCCAGAGTAGCCACCTCAGCAAAGAACATTTCTTTCCATTTTCCGACAGGCCTGCAACCATGTCGACTTTTCCTTGCTACAGATATTATATCGCTGGCACCAGTCATCCGTAACTAATAGTCCGCGTTCCAAGAAAGATGATCAGTATTTGACTTGAGAAGGGGCTTCCCAGAAGTATTATAGCTCTCCTTAAGAAGTAGGATCTACAGCTATCACAGCTCTTGAAGCTTCTCATAACTCGTCTTGCCAAGTTCTTTCAGACCACCTCTCATATTCCTCTCCGCGGACTGGCCAAAATTCGCACCGCTTTATATTTCCTGTTGGATCTACTCAAGGACTACCAAGAAACTAAACAACTTTACATTTGCACAACAAGGGCTAAGAACAAACTACCAAACTTCAAACATTGGCCAAGAAACTCATTTGAATGTCTTCTACGTCTGCTCTCGCCCTGGCAGATGCCTGTCTTTTGGTCTTGGTTTCGGGTGCCATAGTGAAACACCCCGAGCATATTGGACGCGTTTTTCCACCACTTATTGCCGTTTCCAAATCTCCCAAAACTTCTTTCACGACATCGGAAAACCTCTTGAGGCTCCTATTGACATGTCCGAGCCCAATTTCCGCGGATATCGATGAAATCTCTGATCTCGCTGGCACCTTGATTCACGCAGAACAAAATATTGATCTTTCTGAACCCGATTTAATTGAAGACATGGAGAGCTTGTCACTGTGGATTACTAAAGAATTTGAAATCCTGGCAGCTGAAAACGAGGACGCAATCGTGCAAACTGCCAAAGATTTAGTGGTGTTCTTGGCCACAAAGTCTCACCTGCTCTCCTTCACAATGGACAGGAATTTGACTGACCCTTCACGTTCTCTCTTTGATTTTGTGAAAGCAAAGTGTCTCCAAATGGCTCAATATTACGAGGACGTGATATCTGTGGCGGAATCCTTTAAGTCTTTACAGAACCATGGCCCGTTTGAGGCATGGTATCACGGCATTATACAACCGTACAGCTACTTCCACCATAACTATGCTGCACTCGCAAATACTGGCACCCCTGAAATTACGTATTTGTCCTTGGAGACTTACAGTGACATGTTCGGCTTCCTTGTGACACCACTTGAACACCGCGAGGATGTGTTGATGTCGAAATTATCACCGCGTGCCTACTTTTCGAATGTCATTCTCCCATTGGCCGTATACTACGACAATGATTTGAGCTTAATTTCGGAGTGGTTGAGCCAGAATTACTCTTCATGTGATACGCTGTCTGAGTTTGAATTGTGGGATGAGATTTTAAGAACCACTCTCAGCTTCCGTAATTATGAGGGAGAGTCATTTACTAAAGCCAGTTATGACAAGACGCTTCGCTTGTATGTATACGCCTGCTTCTACTTTGGTATCTGTACGAGCGAACATTTGACCCCTTATGCTCGGACTAAGATTCAGATGCAGATCAAAGATACTCTCGTGTATCTTGTGGAGATGCTTGGAGGGACCAATATTCCCAGCTCACTGGATCAAGCACCGCTCGATTTCCCAGACTTCAAATCTCTCGAAGATTTTGCCGCTAGCCCACCCGAGTTTGTGCGCAAGATTGTAGAGGGTGACCTCAACGAATGTCTCAGCTACGGGCTCCAAGTTTTCTCCACATGTTGCTCGTTGCACACATTGAACCAGCTCACAGTCAAAAGATTTTTTTTCTTAAAATCACAGGCCGCCTCGGAAACTAAATGGTTTCACAAGGAAGTCATGCAGATCTTCTCTGGTGCTGATAGCTTGAACTATGATCAGATCATGAACACTTTAGATGTGTTTTCCGAGTCCTTCCTATCACAAAGCATAGATACTTTGAAGGAGCTTGACCGGCTTGTATTTGAGAACTTCGTTCAAACTGAGAATTTTGAAAACGCATTGGAGTATCTGAACGCGCTTTCCACTGAACGCAAATTACACACAGATGTGGCTTTCCTAATAGTGAACCGGAAATTCTGGGAGTTGTACGAAAATGCCTCTAATCTAGATGATAGGATCGGAAGGTTGAAGATCGCAACGCGTTGTCTTGGGATCCTTGAAAATTTTTCTACGCAAAAAGACTTATCCGAAGCAAACCGTGCAACTGTGGTGAAAATTAAACATTTGTTAAAAGCTATTCATAGCCTCAAAAACTTCAAGTTGGTTATTGTGAGAAACCAGCCAGTCACGCCTAAACAAATCTTAGACACAGTATTGTCGTCCAACACCGAAGAGAAGTACCCACAGTTCGCCATTATTTCCATGGTGTTGGAACAGAACCCAAAATCATACCTTGCGCACGAAAGGTTATATAAGATTGTGAACGATTTGGCCATTTACGCAGATTTAGATGTGAGCGTCGTGAGCTTCCCCAGAATCCAGTCTGCATGCGTGGAATCGGCATTAATCGATGGAAATTTCGATTTCGCATACAAACAAGCAAAGGCGTTAGTCACTTTTTATGTCGATTCTAAAAACACAAAGAACCTCTGCGACATTTGGCTAACATTCTATCAAGTCGGGAAGTACATTTCGCCGGACTGGTTTGGGGACTACGATGCCAAAATCCAAGAGGAGAGAATCAAGGTTTTGATAGAGCAGCGCGAGATTCTTTCGCTAGCGATAAAGTACACCAAGCCCAGTGAATTCACCACAGACAATAGCAGGCTTCTCGTGGGTCAGTTCAGGCATGTAAACATGGAGATCAAGAAATGGCATGAAGAGGCTGATCTTCATCGCAGCGAGGAAGTGCGAGACGCGTTCCAATCTACACAGAAACAGATTCAGGATAATTTGTCAGATCTTTTGAATGAGGCCTCTCACTCCCAGAAACAAGCGAGCGAGAAAATATCCAATCTTTTTGTTTCTGGTTTGGGTTGGGCCATAGGCGCCAAACGGTGATCGATGAGATGCACTGGTGCGAGGGTGGCTCTTGATAGAACTGCACCACGCAACAGCGCATAATCCAACTTATGGCCTCACAACAACTTAGGCATTTCTAGCACAGGGCAAAAACTCGTTTCAAAGAATAGCAGTTGCAAAACGGAGTGTAATGAGTCAGCAAGAAGTCATTGATCTCGCCATTGCGAGTTACTTAAAGACAAATGACAATACTGCAAGGCAGTACTTGAAGCTCCGACAGGAAGTGTTAGAAACCACACAGTTGGTCATAAAAGAGATAAAAGAATCGGGTGCAGTGTCTCCAGAAACATTACTCCAGCTTGAAAAACTAAAATTTGAAAATGCCAAAACGTCGCTAGTTTATAAAGCCTACATAGACAACATCACCAGTAATTTGGAAAACGAGAGCACATTGGGCGGTCAAATATCCGTGGAGTTAAACGAGCGATTTGATGACCTTCTGCAAAAAAAGAAACATTATGACGAAAAGACGAGTCAGTTACGCGGAGAACTCAAACCCGTGGTGGAAAAAATGCGCTTATTAGCATCGAATTTCGAAGCCGGAATTGGCCTGGGGAGCAGCGGCAGTAGGCTCGAAAAAAGCGAGAGGAGACTCTTCACAAGTAAGGGAAGTAAGGCGGATGATAAGAGTGTTTTCCTAGACTATACCTCGGCTGTTTTCAGCAAGTCCGAGCTAGAAGCACAGTTTGTGGATGTGGAGTCAAAGTTGGCAGCTTTGAAGACTGTCGATGAAATAAGCAATGAGGATGCTGACACTAAAGAATTATCCACCGAAAAAGGGCCTTCGATCGAGTTGTCTACTTATCTCAATGAGCTTCTACAAAGCGGAAGAGCGTATACACGGATCAATGATTCAACCTACCACTTCGATGTTACAAAATCAACTTCTGCAGACTTGGGCAACTCACGAAGCGTGATAAGTGATTATGAAAATGCCAACGAGCTTTTGGCCAAGGAAATTCAAGGCTTGGTGGCTCGGGGCACCGAGGCTAAAGAGAGATGGATCAGCAACGCCCAAAAAATCGAGATGATCCAAGCGTTGCTCCAGGAGGATATGGATATTGACGGATAAAATTACAGATACCCCTACAATTCGGGAGTTTCCCTATGTTCTATCTCTTTTTTAAGAACCACGAATTCATGTGACTGACAAATTTATTCTTTTTATGATACACGCATGACCCATTAAACACAGCACCCTGCTACTCGACAGGACTGATCAAGATGACAGAGTCACCTCTGACAAAGATCATCTCGGATTTCTTCACCACAACGTCCTCGACAGCCTCACCGTAAATGTACTCTTCGGCGTCGCTCAAGACCAAGTTGCAATGCGAGTCATATCCTTGTAACTTGCCCTTCATTTCGCGGGCGCCTCTTAACTTGACGAGTACAACCTCGTCGAGCTGGTAGCGGATTAGGTCGAGCGGCTCCTCCTGCTTAGCAGTGGTTTGTGTGGTGGACATCTGGGGTTTGTATGTTTCTGGTAAATTGGCTCAGATTGTCCGAGACATGCTGGAGAGGCCGCACTAAATGCAGGAACATATTCTTCATATTTGTCACCAACAGCTAGTTCTTCCCTTCAATTTGTTCTTATGCATATTACTAGTCACTTCGACCGAAGAAAGTGTATACGAGCATTTTGCTTCTGTACTGTTTATGCTTTGCAAGGTGTAGTGATGATTCATCGACGCCCCTCTGCTCCATTGGATGTGCACGTGACCGCGCTCGAGAGAGCTATGATACCCGAAAATTTTCCTACAATCAAGAATCCCATATCCAGGTTGAACCACAAAAATGGCCACCATGTCCAGGGAATTCCGCAGAACATTTGCGTCAGTCAACACGCTACTTGCGAGAACAAAGCCGCTTAAGTTTGGTGACGTCAAGAACATCAAATTGAGAGAACCTATCACGCCCACACACAAGAACTTCGATGTTTCTCCAGATCATCCATTATGGCAATTTTTCCCTGAAGTGGACGGGAAGAAAGCCGCTTACCGTGAGTCCGGCGAGATTCCTCAAGAATCACGTGCCTGGACTATGTCGGAGTTGCGCAGAAAGTCATTTGACGACTTGCACACGATCTGGTACAAGACTCTCAAAGAAAGAAACATTCTTGCTAGAGAGGTCCGTTTGGGCGAGAGTATGGGATTGAACACTGCTCAAGCACAGGACACTGTGGACGAAAAATTGGTGTTGACGCAAAAGAGAATCAAACAGACGCTTTTGGAAAGACAGGTGGCTCACGAAAGAGCAGAGCTTCTCGTCGACGAGCAAAGGCAGTACCTACAAGATTTCAAGGAGAAGTACTTGAATGCCGACGAGTCTCAAATTGCCGGCCACAACGACAAGCTCGTGCGCTTGCAGTATGCTTTGTTTGGCATTGAGCCAAACGTCCTTGATCAAAATCTTGCCGAGGACATCAACGCAAAGTTTGTAGAGGGTGTGTCATACGTGGCCGACTTGAAGCTCCAACACTACTTGAAAACCTCGCCAGATGCGCTCGACTTGCCTTTGATTGGCATCATGGAAGAGTTGCCATTCTTGATACGAGATGCCAGTGAGGCCGTGGAGGAAGTCAACGAGTTGCGTGCCTCTGGAAACAGCGTTGCCCTTGACAAGATCGACGTTTTCCCATTCTTAAGGAACGCCATAGAATCCCTTAGAAATGCCGCAGAAGCGGAGGCTGCGGAGGCTGCGGAGGCTGCGGAGACTGCGGAGGCTGCTGAGAAGCAGTAATCTTGCGGAGGCTATATTGACGGTATGCGAGAATGAAATGACGCTTGAATGAGCAGGCGGACTCATGTTGGTTTCATCGAGAAGGTGTTTTCATGTAAATAAATATAATTTTGGAGAGAGACGCCCAATTCATCGATGGTTGAGTTAGCATGTACACAACAAAGAAGCATGGAGCAATATGCAATTAAACAAATATAAATGCCCCCAGAATAATATATCAATGTGGATCGATTGTCTAAGAAGATTCTGAAGCACCACTTAGATGTTTGACTGTATTTTTGATCAGATGAAGAGACAAACAAAGACGCAGAACCTTATGTTCTTTGACCGGATTTTTTTACATGACTTTTAATTCGTGGGGCTTCATGCAACACATATCTCAAGGCCAAATAAGCTCTCAAGCGAATGAAAACACCATTAGATATCTTTAGTGACGTAGGCATTTGCTTGTTTTGAAAAAGCACATTCAAGTGTTCCTTTGTCCGCAGTCGAAATTCAGCCCCAGACTCGAAGAGTCATGTGATCAGCTTTTCTAATGGCACACCTCTGCTTCATAGCGAATCACCAGATGTGAGCCTTGAAGATCAGTATCACCACTGCACGCGATTCCAGTATGACAAGAGGTGCCGTAGTTGCATTACAGGAAACTTACCGCAGGGCCTGTCAAAAAACAAGATCTAAAAGAAGTCAAACCATCATTATTTTTTGAACCTTCCCTTATCTGATTTTTCATTTTATCAACATATTATATTGGCGGTATTCAGTAGCCATCAGCTCGAAGGTCTGGTCAGACCTGTGCACACCAATCGCAGTGCGCTCTTCCCCACCAGCTCTGGTCTTGGAACATGATTCTACGCACTTGCATAATTCTCTAGAATCTAAAATACCAGCATGGGAAACAGAATCAACGGTTTTCTTGGAGGCGTTGCCTTGACCGGATTTATCACAATGTCCACCAGTGCGGCCATAAAACGTTCTGAGGCCATTAACTCTGCGCAAATTCGTCACTGTGACGAATTCATCAACAACCGAATTCTTACGGATACCCATTTCCGCGAGAACGCAGCGCCTATCAACAAGCGAGTATTCCTGACTCACAGGCCATCCATGTGGGAGACGTGCAAGGATATCTGGAACGAGGAAATCATCAAGATGGTGAACAATGTATACTCTATCAACTGGCACAAGTTGGGGCTTGAGGCAGATAAGAGAATCGGCAAAATGGCAGACAAGGTGTTGCATGGGTCTGTAGAGAAGTGAATTGGTGTATAGAGAGAAAACATAATACAATAAGAAAATGAACGGCCCTTCTGGGAATTCCAATGGTAGACGAAGCGAGTGCGCATGTCCCAGTTTCGGGTTAGCGAACATTGATGCTGCGGAAAGCCGTGGCTCAAATCCCAGGTACCTTTGATTGAGCCTAGTTAGATTTGGAGTTGTCTATAGCTTCAGACGAAGCATCAGATGCGTCTGTTTGAGTCAGGGTCGCCTTCTTCAGCCCGGCTCCCTTGAATGATGCCTTGATATCCAGGTAAATGAACATGTTTGCAATAGGCGCAATTACCAGGAAAATTAACGAGACCAAGATTTGCAAAAACCCCCAGCACCGCGGCATGACACCAAGGGCGGACGAGGCAAGCACCCAGCCAATAAAATCTGTGTAGATCGAATCGTAGCCTTTAGCTAGTCGATCCAAGACAATATCGCAGCATTCCATAGAAGGAATGGCCACACTGGGCCCTTCAATTTTCCTGGTGATCTCGGGCTTTGTTTTCTGCTCCTCGGCATAGCCTTCGCTCTCGAAATTCCCCGGAAAGACGCACGAGACCCTGTAGTTATACGAGACTAACTCCTGTCGCAAAATGACCGATAGGGACATGAGTGCAGCTTTACATGGCGCATACTGGCCGTAGCCAATGAACGGAAACGATGCAACAGTAGAGGAAAACAACACAACGTGTCTGGGCTTGAAGCCCGCAGGGTCTGCATCCACGTTCATTTGCAAGATCGACTTATGGCCCGCGTGGATTGTGTTTACGGCGGTGAGGTAATTTGTGCTCATGCCTGAGGCCAACTCTCTGCCTGTCAAGTCACCAAAAAGCTTGGGGATTGACAGCCCAGCACAGCAGAAGATAAAGTCTGGGTCCACGTGTTTTTCTACCAAAAGCTCGTGCCACATATGCTCACAGGCCTCGTAATCGGCCACATCACACACTTGGTAGGAAACAGTTGGTTCTTTTGCTTTGGGACGCAGCGCTTTTTGCGCTTTCTTGTTTTCATCGAGGATCCGAGCAACTTGTTGTTTAAGTTTGGCCTCGGTGCGGGCCACCAACACTACGGAACAGCCTTTTTCAAAAAGCCTCAAGCCAAGATCGGCACCCACGCCCTGCGACGCGCCAACCACCAAAGCTGTTTTTCCTTCTGGCTTGAAATGTGATTTGGAGAACCACATATCGCTGATGCTTTATGTGTGTTTGATCGATAATGAACCAGCGAGGCCTTTCGCGGTTACACGTTCCATGGCCCTGCGCGACGCGACGCTTTCTCCTTCAGACAACACCAGAAAGGCCCATGAAAATAAAAAGAGAAAGCAGGGCTGATCAAAGATGCATCTTGGGATCTTGATTTGCTGGAACAGAAGAATTTCCGAATCAAAAATTTACCCTTTTACATGGGGCAAATATGGACCTTTCCCAGCTTATCGAACTGTGCGCACTGGTCGGCCTTGATCGCCAGAGATATTTCAAGACAAAGAAGCAAACCGAACGTGCATCTTTATAAAAACCATACATCCAGTATTTTGATGACAAAATTATCCTAGTGGAACCATTAAATAAGAAACAGCAGATCCCAGTACCGGGCCCTTCTCCCCACCAATACAATGAGTTCCATGACCTTCACTGGGCCTCGCAGATGTAATCCTGCACATCCAAGCCACATCTCTATAGACACGAAAAAACTTTACCTGCCCGAACCAACCACTGTATAACTTAACAAATGTCCGGACGTCAAGGTGGAAAGGCCAAGCCCTTGAAGGCTACAAAGAAGAAGACTCAAGATTTCGACGAGGATGACTTGGCTTTCAAGGCCAAGCAAAAGGCTGATGCTGCTGCCAAGAAGGCTATGGCCGACAAGGCCAAGAAGGGCGGCCCTATGGTTGGCGGCGGGATCAAGAAGAGCGGAAAGAAGTAGATGTTCGAATACAATAGACAATATACTGAAATTGACAAATAGTCAGATGGTGCACATTTCATGAAGAAGTGAGCTCGCGTAAGATACCGACTTGAAGCATTGCACAAGCTCGAAGCATATGACTTTCTATGGAAGCGACAAGTTTGTCCTTTGTCTTATGATACTACATGCTCTGTAAATATCTCAAAGTGCTTTACGAAAGAGAGGACCTGATTTAGGCCCATTGTACGAATTCCTGTAGTATCAGGCTGAAAAGGTTTAAATGCTAAGCAGGTCACATTGTCTGGAGACATTTACTTGAGGGTCGACAACCCTTTGGAAAGTGCTTTTCCAGAGAAGGGCCCGCAAAAGACAAACAGGTAGAGCCTTACCAAAAAGTAAATCAAGGCAAAAAGATACGACCTCGGTGAGGGTCGAACTCACGATCTTAAGATTAACAGTCTTACGCCTTAGCCAACTTGGCCACGAAGTCTTATCTGTTGTGGAGAAAACAGAGAGAAATTAACTCCACAAAACGCAAATGAGAATGTCTTTAAGACTATGTGATGTAGTAATTTTTGGAAGATGAAACTCGTGATTGACACAAAGCAAAAAGCAGTAAACAGAGGCTACCAAATTATGGATAACGAGAGCTTATGAAAGGCTTTTCATACCATACTTTATATTTTTGTTCCTTTGTTCAATTGAATTAAGAAAACCTAGCTCCTTTAAATACTTCCTTTGACAATTTAAGAAGCCTTAATTGGTTTGCTAAAGCCGCTCGCAGGGTTTATTTGCTTAGAGACCAGGAGGCAAAGACAAATGTACGTCTTGCCGCCTTGTCAAATGAACCATGGTCACAGGCCCTCAGGAAAATATATCCTATGGGCCGATGATATTTAGTTAATTTTATTCAAGTGGTTGACATTGGTCATGGGCAGAGTCTTTTTGTCACATCCGTTTTGGGATATCTTGTGAATTGGTGCGCGTATCTACTCAACTGAGCTAATGTTGCGATCTATTATAGGTTTTTTCTTTATAGGTTTTCGTTAAGGGTGAGGGTTTACATCCGTCCAGTGACACGCTAGAATATCAAGTTTCTTTTTTTGAAAAAAAGAAGGCAGTGGCTCGATACTGAGTCCATCCAATGAAATAAGCTCTCCCAGGTATTCTCTTCTTGGAAGAACATCGACAGATTGTGGCGAAAAACATACAATAGAAAGTCACGAGCAGATGCAGAACAAAACAAAGTGGTTTGCAACACCAGAAACCTAAAAGTAACATGCAGCAAAACGAGTAAGGTAGGATATATATAGGAATTGATGCAATGTTTATTACTTGAGCAAATGCTTTCCTACAGGTACTACGACATCGTGATAGTTGTGGGGTTCCGATGATGAGGTGTAATATATATAAATATATATAAATATATATAAGTTAGTGGTAGGCTTTCACTCAACATGTTAATCACTTTAGTAAGACCCATGCAGCATAATGCAGCTGCACATCAATTGCTTCACATGGTTTGGTATATGGCGTTGAAACTATTTTGAAAGACTCGTGCGACGAATCATGACCTAGAGATAGCCGAGACCCTCGGATTAGATGCAATCAGCGCCTACGACACAGCCAGAGGTTTGTTAACGGAAACGCCGGCTTGAAAGATCAACACTCAATAATTAGTGTTGATACTCAATGTCGATTAGTGCTTCTCACCGAATTGTGGACATACATTTCGAATTCTGGGACGGAGAAAAGAACTCTAAAACTAAGGTATAATATTAATAGCCTTGAATGTCATGTATCTCGATTCCAAAAGTCTGGATTGAGATGCATGGCCAGATTTCACCAAAGAGGCCATGCGTCGAGCCGGAAATCATTTTAATTGGCAACTCTTTGGTCACGGGCGAGTCAGACTTGTGGAATTGTCAACCAATAGCGCAGCGCACTATCGTGGCTATATATATACATGCCAAAGATTCGGTACCACGAATGAAATACCGAATCGTGTATGCCCTGCACTAGATTGTCTCATGAATTTCGTAAATGGCTTGAAATACTTCTTTTTTCCCGAGACCAAGCTATCGCCACAGTACCAGATCCGTCAGCTGGCCAGATAATCACGCAGATTTTACAGACAGCAGAGGGACGGCACCCCCGAATTATCGACAGACGGGCTTTGGTCTGCCATCAGAAAATACAAGCGGCGGGAAAACACCCGGTCTCCAGAGACGAGATGTACGATTGCACCACACACAACTTGGCGCGCACACGACCCAGAAGAAATTTTGATCGTCTTTTCACGCATGCGCTATCTCCAACCCGGTTTCCAGCAGCTCCGAAATGCCAGCATTAAAGAAATTCGACGCCAACGTGGTGCGCCACGTGAAGCTGATGAACAAGAACTTATGTGCCAACTTGATTCGCCATGAGTACATCGTCACGGGCAGAACCAAGGCCAAGAGAGCGCAGGCCAAGATCGAGTCGTTTTTGGCTCGGGCCATGTATCAAAACAAAGAGCTCGCCGAACAGCCGCTAGCTCTGAGAATCCGCCAGGTCAAGGCCCTTGGGTACTTGCAGCCCCCCGACAAGGCGGAGCTTGCGCCAAAAGTGCTTGACGAGTTGAGCAGGCGGTTTTCGACGAGGACCCACGGATTCACCAGAATCATCAAGTTGGAGAACCGCTTGGGCACGGATAACGCGCCCATGTCCGTGTTGGAGTTGGTGGACTCGGACTTCGAGATCAAGTTCTGGTACACGGCCAAGATCGTGGCGCGGTTGGAGCTCCAGGGCTTGGAGCTTGACGGGATCACCAGCCACAATGTGCAGAGCTTGACCCACAGCAGACACAACGGCACGGCGCGGTTCAGGGATGCTGTGGAGGAGTGCAAGGTCAAGTTTTTCAGCTATGACCCCGAGACGAAGTCTGTCACGGACGCAGCGGTGCGGGCCGAGTTGGACAACAAGCCATCGCTGAGATACGTAGAACAGGCTGTGGACTTTTCGGGGTCCAAGAGGCACCCGGTCAAGCCCAGAGGACAGCGCTCCAGCGTTGCGGTTCCCCCGTCTCCCTTTTTGGAGCAATCATAACGAGACATGTACATAGTGATCATACGAGCATAGGTGACACGACGTAGACCAGGGCCACGGAAACCGTGGGGATCCTGGGCTGGAGAGTTTCTGTGAGGCGTTTGGTCTAATTAGCGGGGGCCTTGCGAAACGGAAGCCAGTTCGGGCGGTTCAGATGGGTCTTTGCGATCCAGGCCCTGGAACCGGAGGAGAACACCATTGCAGCAGTTCAAGCTGAAGTGATTTGGGTTGAGCTAGGCCAGTTTGTTTGATTATGCTACGAACACTGTTTGAGTTGGATTAGTCTCAGCTGTTGAATAGAGGCAATGTGCTTACTACACACGACTGTCACTATGAACACCGTTCGAGTTGACTTTAGGTGTGGAATAAAGCCAGCGTGTTTGATGGAAAAGACTGTTAATATGAACACCGCTCGAGTTGAATTAATCCTAGTTGTTCAATAAAACCAATGTGCTTTCTAAAAATGACTGATACTATAAACACTGTTTAAGTTAATTTAGTTTGAGTTGTTACATATAGCCAATGTGTTTGATGGAAAAGATTGTTGCTATGAGCCGTTCAAGTTAATTTAATTTGAGTTGTTACATATAGCCAATGTGTTTGATGGAAAAGATTGTTGCTTTGAGCCGTTCAAGTTAATTTAATTTGAGTTGTTACATATAGCCAATGTGTTTGATGGAAAAGATTGTTGCTATGAGCCGTTCAAGTTAATTTAATTTGAGTTGTTACATAAAGGAAAAGACTGTTACTATGAACACTGTTCAAGCTGAATCAGTTTCAGCTGTTACATAAAGCCAATGTGCTTACTAAAAAAGACTGTTACTATGAGCACTGTTCAAGTTAACTTAGTTTCAGCTGTTTTATAAAGCCGATGTGCTTGATGAAAAAGACTGATACTATGAGCACTGTTCAAGTTAATTTAGTTTCAGCTGTTCAATAAAGCCAATGTTGCGAACAAAACTGATGCACCCGACAGTCCAAGTAGGACTGCACAGTTGAAACCGTTCCTGGAACTTGGCCGGCTCATCTTCCTCTCTCCAGATCGGCCCATTCCATTGAGACGGGTTTTAAGGCTTTGCCATCGGGACTGTCGAGTGGGACCCTTTGCACAGACTTTTCAACGTGTTCGCTCAACCAGCGGTCCACCGAAGACTCTGCGATTATATTGGAAATCTCGCCCTGCGAACAATTGCACCCCGTACCCTTCCCCAGTCCACCTACAGCCCCCCTCCCAATCGTGTTTTATTTTGTTTTGTTTTATTTTATTTTGATTTATTTTGATTTTTGTTTTGTTTTCCATCATTCCACGGCCGCCCGTAGGCAGCTCCAGCGAAATGCCAGAAATTACATGTTTTACGTCCAGCGACTGGTGGCCCAGCAGGCGCACCACGCCAACAAGGCCTTACTTTGCCAGGCCCTAGTCCCAGCCCCATCCGGTGGGCCCAGGAAATACGAGTTTCCCGTGAGAAGAAGAAAGATTTTCAAGGAACAGCTATAAGAAATAATGACCAGGATTTTGATAAGAAGTCACTGAGCTAATGAGTTTCAACAAATAAGAATAATAGCGAATATGACACTAGATGGTACGTAAGGACAGGTCTTAAGAAAATATATGATATTACAATCTACATATATGCTGATGATGTAATAATCATAGCACCTATAGATGAGAGAAAATCAACGAGTTCTTGAAGGAAAGAGGCCTAAGTTTGAATATGGCGAAAAGCACAATCATAAACTTAGCTGAAGAAAAAGTTGACTGGTTTTATATAGTAAAACTCAGATAAAGTAAAAGTCTTTATTGAGAAAGTATTGGATATGATATGAAATGTAATAAACCTGCTGAAATTGTAACTTAATCCCATAATAAGGGGTAACTATTACAAAGGATGATACATTTAAAACAGTATCTAATGCAATCCATGAGGGACTAATTATATGAGGTAAAAAGAGATTATTAACCAGATCATCAAGACAAGTGTATGATAAATACTTCAAAAGAACCCGGATCCAAATAATTACTATTGCTACTATTTAAATAACTAAGGGAAACAAGTCTATATTTATAATATAAAATCTACTAAGATAATATATTACCCCTGCGTAGCGGCGTGATATATCCCCCGAGGCCCATTTCCTCGAAAACGCAGCGACTCGCGTGGATGGCGCCACCCAGCCGGCTTCAATATTAGCCTTGCCCACGTCGCGGCCCTGCGGCCCCACGGCCCGAGTCTGCCTCAGCCCGCGCTCTGCCTCAGCCCGCCACGTGACCGGCCTTGGGCCCTGGTCCAGGACAAGTCCAACCAGCAGCATTGATCTTGCCCAAAACGCCTGTTCCAGACAGGCCGGCCCCGGCCACCGGCCCGAGCAAGCCACCCCAAAACGCCCGCCAGCTCCTCAGCCTCACCAGGGCATGGAAAGCGTGGCTTCTCGGGATACCAGAATGGGCGTTGGCCAGGGCCAGGGCCAGGGCCAGGGCCCGGAGCGCGGCCCCAATGGCGCGCCGGTCCCCAGGGCCATTTCGCGGCGCCAGGCCGCCAGGCAGGCCCCAAGCGCCCAAACCCGCCCCAACCTCCCTCAGTCCCCCTCAGTCCCCCTCAGTCCTCCCCAACCCTCCTCACTCCTCCTCTACCCCCCATCAACCCACCTTCTCCCCCTTCTCCCCACGCGCAACCTTGCCCCACGCAGCCCACCAGCCACCATGGGCATTCTCACCACGCAGGACAAGGAGAAAATCAAGCGGGCCGTGCCCAAGGCGTCCAACAAAATCATCGATGCCACGGTGGCGCAGTTGTACGTGGCGTACCCGGACCACACGCAGTGGACCGCCACCGGGCTCATGGGCGCCGTGGCCCTCGTGGACGATCTCGTGGGCCACACGTTCTTCCTCAAGCTCGTCGACATCACCGGCGCCCGCGGCGTCGTGTGGGACCAGGAGCTCTACGTGGACTTCCAGTACCACCAGGACCGCACGTTCTTCCACACCTTCGAGACGGACGACTGCTTGGCCGGGCTCTTGTTCGAGGACACCCACGACGCGGCCCACTTCCACAAGCGCGTGGCCGCGCGCCACAAACACGCGTCCCGGCCCACGGCCAACAACAAGAACGCGGTCGCGTTGAAGGACCGCATGCCGCCGCCGCAACCGCGCCCGGGCAACCGCGGCGAGTACGTGGACGCGGCCACGGGCCAGCGCACGCGCCGCGCCCGCGGCGTCTTGTACTACGACGGCCAGCCGCCGCCCGAGTGGCGCCTGTTGTACGCGGAGCTCGCGGCCGCGGGCATCTCCGAGGACATGATCGCCGAGAACAGGCTGTTCATCAAGGAGTACATTGCGCAGCAGGGCGGCCCGCTCGTGGGGCTCGAGCCGCCGGTCCCGCGCCGCCTCGGCTCCGCGCCGCCCACGCGCCCGCC